GGGGGGGGGGGGGCCTTGCGGGCACCCGGGTCTTGGACCTCCAGCCTCCAGAAGTGTGGGAGGTCCGTCCACTGTGTAAGCCGCCCGGCCGTGGTATTTCTGTCAGCGCAGCCGGGACGGACTAAGACACCAGGCTATTCCCGGCAGGATGCTGTCGTGGCTCGTGCTCCCGAGGACCTGTCTGTCCCCACAAAGTCCCTCACGCGCCATAGGGAATGCACAGCACGTACGCATGTGACTTGCTTGCAGTCACTTGTGTTTAAGACCAGGGCCCATCAGCTGGAGTGTCATGTCTAGCCAGGAGCCAGTCCCCCGACCAGAGGCCCACCCCACCACGGGCTCCGTAAGCATCTCAGGACTTGCCAAATCGGCCTCAAGTGCAAATCACACCCAAGGGTGGGTCTCGGGTTTTAATAGGAGTAAACTTGGTTCTCCCTCCTCCTGTTAGATTAGAGTTCTAATCCATCTCAACTTGTGTCCCCAATTCCACACGTCCCGTTTGCACGGTGCACCTGCCGTGCCTCACGGAGGATAGCATTCCTCGGGCTGACATCACCTTGGGGTTTACCAGCCACCTGGAGCCTCACAGCTCATTAATTTTAAAGGGTAAAAAAAAAACCCCAAATCTCCTTGCATTTTAATGTCTACAAATAAGCCACTGATAAGTCTCTACCGGTTCCCTCTTGAGTACTAAAGCCTGTGAAGATCTTACCGTGACTGTGCACGCGGGGCGTCTGGCACAGCTAAGCCCCCTAATGCCACAAGGCCCCAGCTCGCCATGGGGACAGGCCAGGCACTGGCTCCGAGCACAAGTTCTCCGCACACAGGTCAAGGCCAGGAAAGTGCCGTGTCACCCGGATGCCAGGCGCTTCCCCGTCACTAGGAAACCCTCCAAAGCTGACATCACTATCCTCCGGGGACATAATGAAAACTTTCCTCAAACCTATGTCATTCTCCACAGAAGAAGTAAATTAGAATCTTGGAACTCAAGTTAGACCTCCTGTCTTAAATTAGAGCTACAGAGGGTAAATTAAATCCTGTCTGTCACCACAAAGAGTGTCCCCCTCCCTCCCTCGGCTCCGCTCAGACTGGACACGTGGTCCCTGCCGTGTATTTGGCGAAGCGTCACGTTCTGGGACATTTCTTACACTTTAAAAGGACACGGCTTTATGCTTCTATTTTCCTGCAGCTGTTTATAAATACCTTGTGGGCAGGCTGGCCTATGTCCTTGTCATATTTTGCACGGTGTTAGGGCCCAAGAAGAGATAAGCAGGCCAGTCGCACTGGCTGCACAGAAAACCGGTTTCTGTTAGGAGCCCCAGGGCAGACACGATGAAGGAAAACCTTCTCGCACCGTCCCTGCACCGCGCAGGACAGCTGTGCACGCTGGGAAGGAGCGCGGCGTCTGCCCCAGTCCTGCTGCGCAGGAAGCACCTTGAACAAGCCCCTTGTCGCAGCGCCCACCTGTCGCAGGGAGCCACAACCCCATCCCCGTCTCGGGTCCGCGTGGAAGAAGGGTGTCACATTCAACACACAGTCCAACACACAATAAATGGCGGGGGTTGTTTTAGCCAAGGAGGAACATAAAGACACAGACACCTCGCTTCTTCTTAACCCCAGAAAGACCCTTCTTAGGCAGCTATAAAGATCTCCTGTGCCTCCTCTAAATTCGGGCACCCCCGTTAACCTCTCACACGCCGGGGTGAAGGTCAGGGTCCGTGGCAGGCTCCCGGCTCTCCCCGGTCTCCCTGCTTGCTGTGCTGTCTGCAGCGACCACGGCGGGGACACGAACGCCCAGGGGTGTCCCCCGTCGGGGGGTTGTCCCCACATCACACTCACCATCTCGGTACCACTCGGCACGCGGCTGCACCCTCTTCAGCTCCGGCGTCACCAGCAGCGTGCACTTGAGAGTGACAGTCTCGCCTTCCCTCCTGAAGGTGACTCCAAATTTCTCCAGAAACTGGACGTCAAAGTGCATGTATGGGATCACGGACGAAGGGGGCACTGCGCAGAGAGAGCGGGACTGCGTTACGGCGGCAGGCGCAGCCATTCCCAGCCCAGCAGGTGCACAGCAGGCCATGACCGCGAAAGTCCCCCAATCCACCATCACACATCCCGTCCTCGAGAGAGGTGCGTGATGGGATAGACTGGTGTCCCCCAAAGTCACGTGTCAAAGCCCTAAGCCCCAGAGAGAAGGTATGAGGAGGTGGGGTCTTGGGAAGGGGAGGAGTTCTAGATCAGGCCATGAGGGTGGGCTCCGTGATGGGACTAGCATCCTTATCAGGACAGGCAGACGCTCGGGCTCTCTCTCCTCCGTGTGCAGACGCGGTGAGAAGGCGCTGTCCGCACGGCTGGAAGGGGGCCGCAGCCTCTGGGCCGACACGGTGATCTCTGACTTCTGAGATCCGTGAGTAGACGCGTGAGGTTGAGGCCCCCAGTGTGTGGCCGTGTCCTGGCAGCTGAGCTCACTAACCCACTCCCAGAGAACCAGAAGACCCGTCCTGGAGAGGAGCGGACCCTCTGTGACAGAGGGGACAGAAACAGGCGGGACAGGAGGCAACCCGGAGACTGGACCACAGGTAAGAGTAAAGGGTTTGAATCCTGCATCGACCCCACATGGGGGGCTTTCTCGTCGTCAGAATGAACTGCAGCACATTCATCAACTGAATGCCATTTACGCTGCAGACAAAATGAATTAACCAGATCCAGAGGCACCGAGACTGAATCTCAAAAATACACTGTTTAGTGGAGGGGGCAGTATTTTAGAAAAAAAGTGCACAGTAAATTTTTGAAATAAAAACCACCTGTGACTTAGAAACACATGCCTGCAGGGAAGATGTTTTTAAGGAGCTGGGAGCTTCAAGGTGACGGTTTCTTCTTGGAGGAAGACGGGTGAGGGGAAGGAGGGAAGGATTGTGGAGATTCCTCAACTCCTGATAGTTTTGCTCCCTAAAAACACCCGAGGGTCACCGAAGTGTCCATTTGAAAATGCTTATTAGCTTTGTGTTCTGCCAATCGGACTCCAATTGTTTAAAAATAACTGAAAAAAGTGGCAACACATTCACATCTGCTGAACACGGGTGGTGACCGACTGCACAGCGTCTATTATGTCACGGCGTATCAGTATGTTACAGATACCGCAGAGGTTTTACTCAAGCAGACACGATTTTAACCAACAGAGGAACCCCGGGGGACGGGACCAGGGGACAGCCCCCAAGGTCCCTTCCGTCTCCACCGGTGCCTCAGGGCCATCCTCCCAGCGGGCTCCACATGGTTCCTGGAACCCAGGGGACACCGTCAGACGTCTCCCCAACACACACGTTCTCGGGCCTCCCTGCCTCTCCACCTGTCGGCTCTGAACTTGTCCTGCTCGCTTGCTAATGGTCTTCGACAACCCCCGTGGGAAGGGCACGAGCCAATCCAATACCTGATCCAGAAATGGCCAAGGGCTGACCACACACAAGTGTCCAGCGGCTGCCAGAAAGGCTTTCCCCTCGGGCACCCGACCTGAAGTCAGGTCTTCACCGACACTTGACCTGTAACATCTCCACCTCCCGTCAGGGTAAAACGAAAGCTGCCGTGGAATCACACGATTATTCTTTCGGAAGGTCAGGTCAACCCCAAACCTCACTCCCATCCCATGAAAAAGCCATGGTAAGTCACTGAGTCAGCTTGCCAAGTCCCGGTCCTGGAGATGCTCCGGACACGGCTCCCTTCTCCACCCTCACCCGACTCGGGCCACCCCAGCTTCCTGGCCTTCTGGCTCAACACCAGCCCTGGGACTCAGGAAGACACTCGACTTGCCTCATCAGGGGCCCACCTCAGGTCGCCTTGGAAACAGGGGGCCCACCGGCGGCCCCCAGTCCCCAAGCCCCGCAGAGGAGCTGACAGCATCAGACATGTGTCCACAGTGCAGAGAGGGAGAACCTTCCCAACAGGTAAGCGAAAGAGCCAGGTCCGAAGTCACAGGGGCTACGGGCATCACACACAGCGGGAAGGGAGCGTCCACCATTTAAAGGCAGGACCCTGAGCCAGCTTCTGAATGTCATCTGCCACACGCCGTCACCCTGCTCAACGGTGGCTGTTTGCTATAAATGGGCCCTGTGGCAACAGCACGCATTCAGGTCAAAGATCTGGATTCCGTGTTGTCCCCAATCCAAAGGTGTGAGGTCCGTCAGTTTCACCAGCGTCTCAGAATTCCACCCAGCCACAGAGCTACGTGGGGACAGCCTGTCAGCATACTAGCAGTGCCAGCAAACACACAGCTTTAAGAAACGATTCGACCCTCAGAAAACGACTTTTTAACTCTGTGCTGTGTCGCCACACGTTTTTCTGCACAAAAAGGAAAACAGCGGACTTACATCCGATAGGGAGTCCCACCGAACGGAACGGCTCCTCGTCTCCGTGGAACCCTGCAAGACAAGCCGCTGAAGGGCACGGGGGACGGGAGGCGCCAAGGCGTGCCCGCACCCCGGGAGGACAACTCACTTCTCACGACCACGGCAGCGTTGGTCGACACCTGTCCGTACCCGTTTGTGGCCACCGCGGAGTACGTTGCTGTGTCGTCAAAGTTCGCCCTTGGAGGAGAGAAAGCAAGGTCACGCCCTGAATGTACTGTGGGACTGTTCTGCAGGGGCCGGTGACCCTAATCTGAGCGCAAGGTTCCTCGAAAGCCACGCGTGTGACCCAGATCCTTTGTTCGTGAGTGGTTTGTTTAAGAACAATGCCAGCTCTGTCTGTGGAACAAGCTGTTAATTATAGACACGGCAAGGTCAGATCCCAGACTATGGCTTCCCGGTCCTCGAGGAAAACAGTAGTACAGATGCTTCTCGATCTCCTCGACTGCATTCTCAAGGGGAAGTCTATGTGCCCCTCTGGCTCAATTGTTCTTCCTCTATAGGATTCGTGGCTTTATTTTGCCAATGGGAAGGCCCCCCCGACCTCCACCACCGGGAAAATTAACTCCAGCTCACTCCACACCCGGGGTTCCCATGTGGACGGGAGAGTATTTCCCAAGCCCCAAAATAACAGATATGAAGCACCCACTCGGGGGTGTTTTGAAGGTGTCGAACTGGACCCAGCCCAGGCAGCCACCCCCAGGGCCATAGGGATGATGGACACCCACCTCCAGAAAGAACCGTGACCCAGGAACCACCAGACCCCAGCTTCTCCAGGCTGGAGCCCCTCCGCACCCCCCCCAAAACTGATCTGGAAAAAGTTGAAGCTTCCCAGCAGAATACAGAAAATGTCACAGAGACCACAGATATAGGCAGGAAATTGAGCCCCAACACGGGGCTCAAACTCACGAACCACAAGGTCATGACCCGCGCCAAAACTGAGAGTGGGATGCTTAACCAACTGAGCCACCCCGGCGCCCCAAGCCATTTCGTTTTCATAAATGCATTCTGCAGACAGGAGGGTATCCTGCGTCTGGGATCAGCCCCACACCTGCCCCTGCAAGCAGCACCCCCACCGGCAACAGCACGGCACAGCCGAGGCCACACGGAGAGAAGCATGGAGGTCTGTGAGAACCGCTGGGTCAGGGTGTCCCGACCCTGCGCCACGTGCAGAGCGGGGAGACCAGCCGCCACAGGAACACGGGTCCTCAGGGAGCACGTATGGGGAGGTCACTTAGCGCTGTCCAGTCGGGCACCGTGAATCTCTTTCCTGTCTCCTCGGCCTCCTGGACTTCGTACCGGTGGTCCTCAGGCTGTGCCCCGTGGTTTACAAACCAAATCTTCCCATTTTGTCTTCAATGTATATTTTAGCAGTTTTTCAAAGTACGGCAGGGGTGCCTGGGTGGCTCACACGGTTAAGTGTCCGACTTCAGCTCAGGTCACGATCTCACGGC